ATCTATCTATCTATCTATCCATCCATCCATCCATCCATCTATCCCCTTTATCTCTATAGTTATCTAGCTCCAGTTATCCCCCCTCTTCCACAGTCAAATGTAGAGTTTTTTCCCCCAGATCTTCCTGAAGCCAGACTTCGCTCTGGAGGAGCCAGCCACCTTCAGCGCCGTCCTGCCCTGGTCGCACTTCGGCGGCACGGTGGGAAAAAGCAGTCGAGATGTGGCTTCATCCAAACTGCTTCAGGAGAAGGTGGGGAATCACACATAAAAAGATCGAGTGGAGTTGTACAAACCCATAGCTGTAGGATGTAGTTGAGAGTAAAACTGTCTGCTGTGTCTGCAGCTGAGTCACTACCTGGATGTGGTGGAGGTTAGCATTGCACGGCAGATCTCCATGCGTTCCGATGCCTTCTTCCACGCCATGTCCTCCCAGCATGAGCTGCAGGACCGCCTTCTGGACACGCAGCATGCCGTGGCCGTGCTGCGGGAGAAGACAGCCGCCATGGAGCGCGTCATGTGCCTGGGGCCCCTGAAGGCCCTACGTGCAGCCCTGACGCGTAACAACTGTGTGAAGTTGCACAACAAGTTAAAGCTGATGGCAGCGGTGCATCAGACACAGCCCACCGTGCAGCTGCTCCTCTCAACCTCTGAGTTTGTAGGGGCACTGGAGCTCATCGCCACCACCAAGGAGGTGCTGCAGCAGGAACTTCAGGGAGTCCACAGTTTTAGGTAGCTCCACCAGAACCTGATTCTTATTCTGCTCACACCAGACACTTCTAAAGCAGTTTAAAATTCATTTTCATCTACTGTAAGCAAGGGTCAAATAAATAACTTTAGTGTAAAATAATTTCCGTTTTCCATTTTCCCATCAGACACCTGGGTTCACAGCTGTGTGAGCTGGAGAAACTGATCGATAAAATGATGGTGGAAGAGTTCAGCATGTATGCTCGTAGTGACCTGAGCCGCAGCCTGAGGGACGAACCGCAGATTTTAGAGAAGGTCCGCCAAAACCACTCAACACATTTCAGCACTGTAATTACTGACAAATAACATAATAAGTAAGCCAAAGAATAGTCAAACTTTAAAGTAAAAGTATGCTTAAAGTCAGCCAGGTTTCTTAGCTTCTTATTTGTTTGTGTAACTGCTGTGTGTCAGTCTGAGCTGAACTTTTTCTTATTGTTCCAGGATCGCCTGGAGTCACTGGCGTTTGGACTGCTGAGACAGAGGAAGCTGGACTTTCTGGATATCTACACTGAGGAGATGATGCAGGCAGCCAAGGCCGTGGTCACTCAGGTACCACTGTGTCTGCACTAGTCAAGAACACCAGCACCTTGTCTGGATGTCTAAACTAGTCCCTAACCTGTCCCTCTATTTTGTTCTCCTTTGCTGTGGTCACAGTGTGTGGCGGAAAGTCTGACCTTTAACCAGGAAGTTCACACTGAAGGTGTTGCAAGGTAAGTGGAGACATTGGTAACAGAAGAGCAACAAGTTCTGTCTGTAGAAGCAACTCCACAGTTTGAATTTAAATGATAAAATTAAGTGGCAAGTGTGTATCTCTGTTTGTGTGTGTGTGTCCTTGTCACGGTGTGTGTCCATCCTCAGACCAGCTGATCAGATGCGACTGATGGCCTTCCCTCAGTGGTTGGAGCTGCTGAAAGACATCTTTGACAGTTTCATTTTTTTCTTGCAGAGGATCAAAGTGAGTCATTTCCCACTTCATGACAATGAATATTGTTATAAACAACAATGAAAGTCATCAACCGTTAACGTTGACAACATGTCTGTGTTTCAGGCCACGCTGACTGTCATCAGAAACGTTGTTCTGGAGGTTCTGAGCTCAAGCCAGAAAAACAGGCTCCTGGGGGACATGGGTCCAGAATCTTCCGGTCAGGAGTCTACAGACCTGTCGCTGGTGCAAGGGGAGGCAGAGCTGGCCTACCTCACCCACGAAGGTCTGTTCATCAGTGACGCCCTGGACCAGGCCCAGCAACGAAAACAGCAGCAGACAATGGCCCAGGACCAGAGCTCTGTGCAGGGCTCCAGGCTCCAGCAAGGCCCCCGGTCAGAGGCCCCATTCGGAGGAACCACAGACACCTTCGTCTGCAGAGAACAGAGCCTTGTGTATGATTCATGTTTCTTGTTAGCTCTTGTCTTAAGTTTTTAGAGTACTGCAATTTTAAAACCACTTTGTCTCTCACACCAAACCTCAAAGAGAAATCATTTAAAAGTTGTTTTATTTTGTGGTTTCATTCTGTCACTGAGGCATCAGTGGACCAGCAGCTCTTGTGTCACCGTCAACTAAATTCACTGGTTTCACTATTTGACAAACACTCTGAGGTTTGGTGTTGAAGGATACCATGAGTTTAGCTAAAAGACTATAATTTCCAGGTTAGTTAAAACTAATGAAGAATAACAATGGTCATGACATTAAAAGTTTTTTAACAACAGTTGGTGCTTTGTTCAGGTCTGGAGAAAACCCCATGCCCACAGAGCTGGAGTTGAACACTGTCATCAACAACATCCAGGACCTGCTGTACACGGCATCGAACATCAGCCACGACCGCTGTGTCAAAGTCCTTCAAGCCAGAGCCAAGGTGACCTCAGCTGTTCTTCCTTGTCTTTGTTGTCTTCCTCATCTTTGTCTTCATCTTTGTCTCCTTCGTCTTCTTTTTCATCTTAAGCTTTTTTGTCCTCTTTCTCATCTTTCTCTTTTCCACTTCCTCCTCCTCTTTTTTCTTCTCTTCGTTGTCCACCTCCTCTTGCTCTTCCTCCTCTTTTCATTTCCTCTGTTCTTACTCCTCCTCTTTCCTTTTTCTTCCACCTTCTCCTCGGAAAAATTGTTGAACCTTCTTTCTCTCCCTCTGACAGGACGGCTCTCTGGAACGCCTCAGCTCAGCAGAGTTTGTGACTCTGTCTCAGGCAGTGGAAGCTTTTGTCAGGGATACAGAGGAGCTTTGCTGCAGGCGAAGTGTCTCTCTAAGGGGGGCGCTGCAGAGCCAGGCCAACCGCTTTGTTCACCGCTTTCATGAAGAGCGCAAGACCAAACTGAGGTGAGCGGGACAGGTTTTGTGGGATACATTTTAGTTTTATCAGGAATGTCCGATAATATCTGCCAACCGCTACTAGTAAAATTATGTAATAATAATGAAAACCTAAGAGCAGTGCCTTGGTTTATCCCAAATGATGTGACGTAAAAGTAGTTTTGATGTGAAGTGAATCAGTATTGCTTGATGATAGAATCTGAAATTAAGTGTTTGGACAATATCAGCATATCGGATTTCAGCAAAAAGTTAATATCGCACATCCCTATTTTTTACCTATAATTTCAGCCAAATGGATTCCGAAAAAAAAAAATTTGTTCAGATTACTCAGTCAGAAATTTCTCAAACATGTTGGTTTGAGGAATTTCAGCAGGTTTGAGATGTTAATGACTAATTCTCTGTGTCTCCAACAGTTTTGACCAGTTTTATCATATGGCTTTGATTTGACATCTTTATTTAACCCTAAGTAGCGTTTTTCAAATCACACACAGCACATTTTAACCAAACTTCTCTGAGGAAGGATTTAGATTGATTTAGGCCAGTGATTCCCAACCACTGTGCCGTGAGAGATCATTAGGTGTGCCGTGGAAAACTATCCAATGTTACTTAACTGGTCCCTAAATATTATTTATTTATTGCAAATATTTTTTCTTTGTTTGTCAATGCGTGGCAGGCAATGCAATCAAGTCCTCTTCCACTAGGTGGCAGCAGATGTTACTAAAACTAAAAAAAGATAGAAGACAAAACTGTTGAAGAAGGTCTTTGTGAGTGTCTTTCTTCAATTCCTGCCAGTATATCAGCATTGTGTTCAACTAAACAGGAGTACATTTTTAGTAAATTTATACTAGAATATTATCATATTTCATTACATATACTTTTTGTGAGATTATTGTTTTGTGATGTGTCGTGGGGTTTTTCCTGATGATATATATGTTCCTTGGCTCAAAAAAGGTTTGGAAACACTGATTTAGACAACCTAGCAGCCCAGAAATCCAAAACATTTGCTTCAGTGTTACAGGGTTGAATCATGAAACCCTGCGAGTGTGCAAAAGGTTCTTATATTGTTATATTTTGTATGTGATGTGATGCTAACACTGCGTTGCTCCGCCTCTTCTTGTAGCCTCCTCCTAGATAACGAGCGCTGGAAGCAAGCAGAGGTTCCTTCAGAGTTTCAGGACCTGGTCAACTCCATAGCTGAGGGAAGGATCACACTCCCAGAGAGGAAAACCGCAGGTACCAACAGATCAGAGCCCCAGGGGTGAAACTAATCAAACATCTGTCACTTCTTTAAAGACCAGACCTGTTTGATCCCGCAGGTCCAGACCAGAGGAAACCTGCCGAGTTTCTGATCATAGACGGGCAAAAATACGCTGTTGTTGGGTCGGTGACCTCGTCTATGTTCACATTTTTATCTTCTTATTGAGCTTGATGTTTTTTCACTTGAAAAAAATATGAAATATGTGTCTGCTGAAAGTGCTCTCCCTGCCACTGCAGGACAGTCCTGCTGCTCATCCGGATCTTCCTGGAATACTGCCAGTGCGTCAATGACATTCCCTCTATTGCTACAGACATGTTGACACGGCTGTCTGATCTCCTCAAGGTCAGGACCATTAGTGACCATCACTCTGTCCCTTTGCATCCACGAGCCAGCATTAAAAAAACAGAGAGAAAAAGAATGAAATAAAAAGTCTTGTTGTCCTTACATTTTTATACATGTTATGTCACAGCTTGTGGGTGATTTAAGAGTGGCAAAAATACAGCTGACATGGTCAGGATTAATGCTTAATTACATTTGTATCAAGTCACATAACAAAGAGCAAATACTACTGCCATAACGACCATCGTTGACTGTCACACTTCAATACATACAATCCCAGTTTTAAAGCTGACATCATTTCTTGCTCTTCTTCTCTGATGCAGCACTTCAACTCTCGCAGCTGTCAGCTGGTTCTGGGAGCTGGAGCTCTGCAGGTCGTTGGCCTCAAGACCATCACCACTAAAAACCTGGGTATGTTTCTTTAGACGGAAATCAGTGAGAGGGACAAGAAAGAACCAGTTAAAGTGATCAGCCTCTGGGGGGCAGAATATTGTCCTGCTAAAATTATGATCCTCTCTGGAGTTCAAATGTCATGTGAAATAGGTGGAGTTTAAAGTTAGCCGACTAGGTGCTAAAAACTCATGAGTATTTATCAGATTATAATTACTTTTAAAAAATAAATAGAGCTGAAAAGAAATCTTAAAAAATACACTGACATATTAGGCTGGGTAGAAGCTCAGGAGTCTTTGAAGAGTTTGAAAAAGGACCTTGAAAGTACTTGTAATAATCTGTCTGCCTGTCTGTCTGCCTGTCTGTCTGTCTGTCCGTCTGTCTGTCTGTCTGTCTGTCTGTCCGTCTGTCTGTCTGTCCGTCCAGCCTTGGCGTCCCGCTGCCTACAGCTGGTGGTTCACTACATTCCAGTCCTTAGAGCTCACTTTGAGAAAAAACTGCAGCCCAAACACTTCAGTGTTCTGCGACACTTTGACCACATCACTAAGGTAACACATACACACACACACAAATACAGTGGTCCCTCGTTTATCGCAGTAAATAGGTTCCAAGGCCTGTCGCAAGAACTGAATTTCCGTGAAGTCGTGACACGATATTTATGCGCAGTAAAATGATGACGAGGAAGGTGATGATTTTTACTGCGCAGCCGATTATTGATTTTACGTCTCTCCAGAGGGTGGTGCCGTTTCATGGGGCACCTCTTCCACGTTTTCCGAAGGTGTATCCGTAGTAGTAGAACTGGCTCTTTTTTGCGAGGCTGATCGGAAGTTGCTTCCACTGCTTCTTTTTCCAGTCGAAGAGTAGCTTGTAGGCAGTCATGACATCGTCGATTTTGTTGCAATATTGGACCGATATCGAACCATATCGTCATCTCATTCCTGTGACATCTCTTGTAGATCTAAATCTGGGATACAGTATATTTTATATATACGGTTTTCAAAAACCCGTGAAGTCGGGAATCCGCGAAAGATGAACCGCGAAATAGCGAGGGACTACTGTACACTACTAGTTACAGGACGAGTGTGTATGTTGTTTTCTAGGACTACAACGACCACATATCAGAGATTTCGTCCAAGCTGGTGGCCATCATGGACAGTCTCTTTGAGAAGCTGTTGTCAAAGGTAAGAACTCATGAAAGTCTCTCAGCTCTCAGTGGACGCCACAGGTTTTGATTGTACTGTAACACATTTCTCTCAGGTAAAAACCTACCTAACAAAAAAACTGTTCTGATTCTGATTATTGTAATATTTTTTATAATATTTTCTACATATTTGATATTCTTCATACGTTTTTTCTCTTTTTTTCCTGGGCTTTGGTCTGTGAACTACAATCACTGATTTTCTCTATGGACTTTGGTACAAGAGAGTGTGTAGTTTACAAACGTCAGTTTCCAGGTGTCAGTCTAAATGTCTAAATGTTGCTGATTGTTGTCGTTTTGTTCTCAGTATGAAGTGAAGGCCCCAATGCCATCGGCCTGCTTCAGAAATGTCTGTAAACAAATGGCCAAGATGCATGAAGCCATTTCTGAACTCCTACCTGAGGAACAGATGCAGGTTAGTGGTGACTCAGCATGTTTGATCATGACATGGGGTATTTGACTGAAGGTGTTCAGAATGACTGTTTTAATACAAGTCTTTACCACTGATGTTTTTTTGGGCTGTTTCCTCTGTACAGGTGTTGTTTCTGAGAATAAATGCTAGTTTCAAACTTCACCTGAAAAAACAGTTGTCCCGACTGAGCGTCATCAATGATGGAGGACCACAACATGGGTATGTTTAATTTAAAAATTAAAAATGTATTTAAAAATGGTTCAGTGTTAACCATAAGTTACACTAAAGCAAAATCTAAGTGCAGAATTAGCTATCAGTTGCATGTGGAAAAATAACTCAACATGAAAACAAAATAAAAACAAGAACCTGTGGTTAGACTGAGCAGGAATTAGTCCTTACAGTGGAAATGTACTGGTGTCCCTTGTCCTCGATAACCTTTCTGTTTACTTCTGTAAGCTGTATATTTCCTTTAGCCATTTGCCACCACTCACACATCATTCTCCTTTATGATGATTGCACAACATAACACATGATGCTTTCGGGTAAACGACACCGCTAGCTTTCATGGAAACATAATGCACCGAAAGTGCTCTGTCTGTACAAAGGTTGTCTCAAAAATGTAAAGGAGAGATCCCCCTTGAGGGCTCTCACTCAGACTGGTTTTGCTCTCTCTTATTTCCACCATAACCAGAACCTTTACCTTTACCTTTACCTTTATCTAGCCTGCTGTACCAGCAGGCTAGATAAAAAGAGATGAAAACGTACCAGCAGGCTAGATAAAAAGAGATGCAATATTTAGCCAAAGATTTAATGTTAGATAAAACTTTTTCCTAACAAAAAAAAAATAGTAAAAAACAAATACGTATTTCACAGATATTTGTCACATAACTAAATGTTTGACTAGTAGTGGTTAGCTAAATATTTAGCATACAATACAGCATAAAATATAAAGCCAGAGCTGCTAACTAAAAGTAACCAATGTTATTTAAAACTCAAATTTAGCCAAAACAAAATATCTTAAAATAACCAAATAATTGCAATTTTAAATTTAGGTTTAAAAAAATGTTGCCATAATGGTGGGCGTGGATTCGTTTTTGCTGAAATGTTTGGTAAAATTTGCCAAAAAATTGCTTAAAGATGAATGAATAGCCAAATATTCAAATTCTTTTTTTTCTTCAGGTTGGTGGTGGTGGATGTGGCATTCTACACTGAGAATATTCAGGTTCTGCGAAGCCTGGAGAACCTGGACCTGAACATGGCTGAGATCTGGGAGCAGAAGAGGTGATGGGGTCGGATTCTGCACGTCCAGGACTCAACCAATCAACTAACAGGAACAGGCGCTCCGCTTCCTCTTGACAAAAGGCGCAGTCAAAGGGACCAAAAATAAGAGGAACTGCAACCCCTCGTGGCAATGTGCAGTCCTACGGAGACAGACACAGCAGCTCTTCAGTGGGCGTGGGCTGACATGGAACAAACATTGGGTTTTTGTTGTCTCTGTTGAAGGGATTTTTTTAAATATTTGATTATTGACTGGGGAGAAATGCAATGATTGGTGGAGGAAACACATGGCTCCGCCTCCTCACTCTAAAACACTAGTAGAGTTTCAGCTACAGTGGCTGCTGCTTCTACATCTTTACTGTGACCTTAAGTGTCCTGTGTCTTCAGTTTGTATTTTTAACATCTGGGATTTCCGGCTCAGACGTTTCTAGAAAGACTGTTCTCTTACCACCTTCCTGTTTATTCCAATATAAGAGCTTCTAAATCGTCTGAAATTCAGAAGAAAAAAAGGTGGATTGAGGTGGATTTTTTTTTTTAATGTGACAATGATTTCACTCTGGGCTTCAATCAAAACTTCTGCTGCAGTGTTTTAAGAAGTTCTTCATTTTTATGGCCACAAAAGTTTGCAAACAACTCCCTTTTCCACAACAGAAATCTGTGAAGGGAACTGATTTTATTTTCCATTCCAATGAGTCATAAATCAGCATCTGCACAGATGTCTATGAAATCAGATATATCTTTCTATCTATCAGTTCTGAATCAACTTTTCTGTTGGACTGGTTTGTTTTCAAAGACGACCACCTTCCTGCAGATCCTTCTGTTTCTGCTGTCAGTTTTATAAACACTGTGGTCACTCTGGGCTTCTGTAGCTGAGGCTGAGCCTGGTCTCTGTGTGTCTGTGTGTGTATTTATGTTGTGGTGATGCAAGCACAGCATCAGAAGTGCCTTTATTTAATTGACACATCTGAGCTTCACTGCAGCGTGACGACCATACTACTGTGTGTGTGTGTGAGTGAGTGAGTGAGTGAGTGAGTGTTTGTCAGTCTGGAAGAAAAACTGTCTGGAATAAAACATGATGAAGGAAAAACTTGTTTTTTTTGCCTGCTGAGTGTGGATTTAAAATTAATCTGAGTTTTGTTTTTTTTTTTTAGATCCATGTCAACTTGAATTACATCAAGAGAAATCTCAGCTTTTGTTAGTTGTGATGTCACATCCAGAGGCTTTGCAACGTCCCAGTGTTCTGTTTTGAATCTATGTGATAAACGAAGTGACCTGGGAGGACCGTCAGAGAGAAATTCAAAAACTAAGTTTGTGTTTTTCTTCGTCGTACAACAGAGAAAAGGGTCAGAAGTCACTGAACAAATTTCAACAAGATTATTTAATGCTTTTATTGGCAATGGAGACTCCAGTCACTGAGACTTGATTATGAATGGGTCAGAATTCATAGACTAGCTGTTGTGGAGATTTGTGACTTGATTTAACAAAAAAAAACAAGACCTGAGGCTCGACTTGGACTTGAGCTGAGATTTGGTGAAGGTTTTATTTTATGTTATCCAGTTGACTATAAATTGTTATTCCTAGTTATTTTTCTAAACTGAGAAAAACAGGAAAGTGTGATCAGATAGTCGAGGGTGTAACCGTCACAACCCACTTTTGTAGAGGCTCTATTTGGATAAAGGGGAAACACAACATCTTGATATTTTCTACATCGGCATTTTTCGTTTTGTGCTCAAAATTAACAAACTTGGTGCTACGTCTGACCCCGTCAGAATGAGGAAGGGGAGGAGAGAGTGCCTTTAATTCCATTTAAGAAATACAGTAGTACGAAAACCTGAAACTCACTTTGAGTGGATGTTCTATGACGAGGGTGATCCGCCTGGAGCATTCACTTGGGAGCTGAGAAAAAGACTTCAGAGTTATCTTTAATGATTATTCAGAACACTTTCTAATTTTTCCCACTTCTCTCCACAGTTTGGAGCTAAAATGGCCAACAGATTGTTGATCCTGTCGCTTGCCCACCTTGTCTTCCTCTTGGCACGGCCATCCTCTGGAGAGGGTGGCTTTTTTTCAATACTGAACTTTTTCAAAAAACAATGTGTTTCAGAGTGTCCTGCCAAATACTTCTCCTCAACATACAACGAGCCCTGCATGGACCGCTGCGATAAACACGGCTACTCCTACTACTGGTGTACAACACAGAAAGGCTGGGATTACTGCTCTCCAGCAGCTGATGTGGACTACCAAGGTGGAGCCTGCCTGCCAGGATATTACGAATACAACGAGTGCTTGTTAGGTGGAGGAACAAGCTGGAACATGTGTGCACGAGTAGAACCCAAATCACTGAGATATTACACACGATACTCCAAAGAGTGCATCGACGATTGTCAGTATTACCAGCGCGGCGATTACTTTTGGTGTCACACTGAGGACAACTGGGAATACTGCTCACCTCTCACCGATTACACCTACAGGGGGCAGCCTTGTCGACTTGGTGACAATTGTAGATTTGTGGGTAAAGGTTACAGCTGGTGCTACACATCATTCAACAATGACTGGGATTACTGTGGACAGGTCTCCTCAGGAGAGTGCAGCTATGCCTCAGAGTCCCGCCGTAGAAAAAGGCAGTCGGATAAAACCATGCTAATCTGCACCAGGAAAGACAACGTCAACGGTAAAACGAAGTTGACCCGTTTCCTGGACAAAGGAGGTCAAAACTTTATTGCACCAGTTAATAATAGATTAGAAAACGAAGTACTCGATTTGATCAACCAATGGAACAATCGGTGCAGTGTACAGAGCAGGTCAAACCTAATCAGATCCCAAAATTACCGAATCGACCTCCAGGGAACCTTTAGATATAATGGCAGGACGTATTACAATCTGCAAATTCAACGTAACGAACAACGCCAAGCAAGAAAAAGCACCACTGTGGCACAAATTCTGGTTCCTGACGACACTTCAGCCGAGTACATGCGTTTGGCCTTCAAGTACAGTTTGCAAATGAGAACTAGAGTTCAGATCGAGGTGGAAGAAGTTGATTCCTCTGATAACAACAAGTGCTGTACACGACGTAAACAATAAGTCTGATCTCAGTCTGTAATTTCCTTTCCAGCTATTTAGCAAAATAAGTCAATGTTAGACGAAAATGTAGATGCCATAATTTCGTAATAATCAGAACAGGATTAGGGATCAAATAGCTTACCACAAAGATTTCAAGTTTTTTTTTAAACTATAATTGTATTTTCTATTGTTTTTTTCAGCACAATAAAGTTGCATTTTTTCTCTGTGGTTTTGTCTGTATATCTACTTAATAATTGTCTCTTTTTTTCTTCTATTTTCTGTATCATGCAACATTCTGGTGTTCTTTGTGTGCAATATTTATTGCTATCTACTTTCTCATATGCGGGAACTACAATTCCCATAATGCCACAATAAATCGGCGGCATATTACGGAAAGCGACACGTCCCTTGCAGTCTGGCGGAGCTCACGTGATCGGCGTTGTGTAGTCAGAGGATAAACAAAGATGGCGGAGACCGAGGCAGCAGTGGTGAAGCGCCTCGGTGCCTTGTTGAACGGAATCGCCCAGAACATGTTCTTTAAACAGGTTGACATTACAGCAGAGCTCCTGAAGGAGCAGCTGTACTCGGAGCTGCCGTTAGGCGAGTTCACGGCGCTGCACGACAAAATGAAGGGACTGCTTAAGGTGAGTGACGAAGAGCTGCAAACATCACAGCATCAACAGTAGCTAAGAAGTCGATTTGTACACGTCTTTGTCGGGTAACTGTTGTGACACATGTTCCTGCCCCGACTCCCCTTCTCACCTCCCCTCATGCTCGTCCTCCCTCACCTTTTCCCTTCCTCTGCCCCTCTCTGCCCTCTTTTTCTCTCCCTGACTCCCCCTTTCCTCCGTCCTCTCTTGTCAATCGTTTACACCTCTCTGCTCTCTTTTCAAAACGCCTGCACCTCCTCCATCCTTCTTCGCCTCTTGCTCTTCCTCTCTCCTTCCCCACCTGCTCCTTCCCTTCAGTCGGTGGCCTCAGCGGACATGGATGGAGCCCAGTTGGAGGCATTCCTCTCAGCCCAGAGCAGGAAGCAGGGCGGTGGGGGGGGCGTGACTGCGGAACAGGCTGCCGCCCTCTCTCGGTTCTGGAAGTCTGGGCGTGGCCGCGTGCGAGAGGTCCTGGTTGCTCAGAGCTGCTGGGAACCCGCCCTCAGGGGCGTGTCTTGGAGGGTGGACCTCCAATCTGCCTCCAGTCGCTGTGTTGACGGCAGAGATGATAACCAGAGTGGGCCGGTCGCCCTGGTGGAGCTTGAAGTGGGTCGGATCGGACAGGTCGGTGCAGCCCACGCTCCTAAGTTTTAAGTTTATTTCTAGCACTGTACCTTCTGACAAATCATAATTAGACAAAACTTAAAAATGTATTTTCTTCATTTTTGAATTTGACAAATATTAGGGATGGACTTTAGCTAGGGTGAATATTTGGCTTTTAACTTAATAGATTTCCTGTTTTTGTTTAGAATGTCCTCTCAGTTCTGTTTATAGATGTGTGACAGATAGATTTGCTCTTCTTCAGCGTTCAGTATCACCGTCTCTCATCTTCTCCCTCAGGACTCAGAGTTTGTGTGTTTAGAGTTTGATGAAGCCGGCGTGGAGCGGATACTGAAGAAGATGTCCAGCATCCAGGAGAGCATAGACATGATGGCTGAGCAGAGCTGAGTAGACGCCGTCTGTTCTCCAACACTATGTTTTCATTTTTTTTATCTGAGAACAACGCAGCATCGGACACAAAAACCTGCGGAGAAGAAAGATCTGGACTTGCCTGGTAATCTGGAAATTGCCTGCTGAGGCTGATTAAATGACAGTTTTTGTTTTTTGCTGAGGAAACCCTGAAGTACATATACATGTGTACCCTAAAATGGACACATTCTTGGAATCAGTTCACTGATATAGCAAAATGATATGCAGACTATTCCAGGAAGAAAATACATTGGAATCATCTATGGACTTTTATTATTGACATGACCAAAATAAAAGGCTGAACATATTTATGTCTGTACCTATGATATATTCAGTATCCATTTGAATATATTAGAGTATTTGGAGTATAGAATATATATAAAGTCCACTATATTATTGCATAAAATGATAAGTTGATTTTGTATGTAATGTTCCCTAATGCTTATAATGCATAGTTTTCCATTAATAGGGCACACCCACTATCTTCTATCTGATTGGTTGGGAGACAATTTTAACAAACAAGTTCATTAACCTTAACCAAAGATGTAGTGACCTTTACCGTTCATTTCTTCTTCTTCTTGGCAGATTCAGATGTCAGTCCAAAACTAAAATGTATCCTTGTTATTGTCACAGATAGAGGCAAACAATGAGATGGTTCAAAAACCGAAAGATGAACCGCAAAATAGCGAGGGACTACTGCATTCCTATTTCCGTTATACAAACTTTCCTATATCTGCGCGCCCCCTACAGTTGACCGCTGACATTCACATTCTTTTTTTTTCTTTTTTTTTTTTGAGTTGGTTTAGTCTCTTAGAACTTTTTCTTTGATAAAAAAAAGAGCGTGCTTTGACAACTGTAACAGAAAGGCTCATTGGTTTAAATCTACAAAAATAAATCATTTAAATACAAAATAATTTCAAATAGTTTTTTAGTTAATAGTTATTTCAGCAATATATATATATATATATACACATCAGCATCATGTAGACTGATTGTCAAACTAGTCCAGGAAGACTACATCGGAATCATCTATGATATATACTACGTTCAAAATAATTACTCGGATATATAACTAGAAAGATTAAAAAAAGCCAAAAACTGCACAGATATTTACAATAGAACCAAAAATGAGGTGCTCTGAGCATAGCACTGTCCCCACACACTGCTCCCCCCTGCTGCCCACTGTTCACTTTGGTGATGGGTTAAAAACAGAGGCTCAGTTTCGTTGTATCCTCGTGGTACCGACCATTAAAAAAAAAGTCACTTTAGGCAGATGAGTGTAAAAAGCGCCCTCTGCCGTTCAGAGGTCAGTCTGACACACAATCAGCCGCCTGATTTTGTCCACCTGCTGACAGTAGCTTAACTGCAGCTGCTTTACACACACGCACACAAGAGTTCAAGTATCGATAATGATGATGATGATGATGATAACGACGAAGAGACTTATACTATTACTGCTGCTGTGTCCCACTCTATCCATGACACAGGTACAAGGGTGTCCATCTGTGTCCGATCTGTGTCCACATTCAGACTCTAACCTCTCTGCTTCCTCCCTCCCGACTGCAGGTCGACACTGACCACACCGACCAGCCTCCAGGTCAGATGTTGCTTTTGTTTCGGATACTGTTTCCAAAGCTACACGTGGTTTTTTTTTAATGTCTGCCTCTGTCATAGGTTTGAATTACATTGTATGCTCTTAGTTTAGATTTATTTCATTGACACAAACAGTTGGCAGCTATGGACTGGCAGCTTCTGGATTTCTATAAACTTCACTATGTCTGTGAGCTAAAATCAATCTGATTTGTTCTGTGACTTTGGTGTAGGCGAGGAAGTGAGTTTCAAAGTGTGGCATATTTCAGGATGCAGATATTGTTAGCTGACGCTTTGTTCTCAATGCCTGCTCCCTGTGTGCATACATACACACACAGAGAGAGAGAGAGAGAAAACATTATCAGACTTTGTCTATGAAGATTCTCAGTCCAGGTCAAGTTTGAAAGTTCTGTTAGGCAACTGGACGTGAATTTTTCTAAAAGAAGACGTTTCACCTCTCATCCAAGAGGCTTCTTCAGTTCTTCAGAACTGTTATCAGACTTTTTTTCTTCCAAAGATGGACACCGTGGTTATGAGGACGACGCCTTCTTTGCCCTGCGCAGCTGCCATCAGCTGCTACGCGGTGACACGGGTGAGTTCTTTTCCCCAGATTACTTGTGCTCCAACCCGGCGCTGTGGTGCAACTGGACTATCCAGGTGGATCCTGGGAAGAGGCTTCATCTCCACCTGGAGGACTTCACTCCAGAGGATGCCTGCCAGTTCAAACAGGACCAGGTCCATGTGGACGAGCCAGGAACCAGTTCAGGAGTTCATAAAATTCTGCAGAAGTGCTGGAGGGAGGCTAAGTACACCACGTCCTCTAACACGGTGAACGTGGTGCTGCTGATTGGCGGCTGGCCGAGCTCCCCTTACAGGGGCTTCTATGGCTGGTACCAGGCCTTCGGACCACCCATCATATACAACCCACAGGAAGTGATCAAAGCTGAAGATGAAAAATCAGAACCCAAAACACTTGGACATGTAGATGACAACGAAAGGATAAATGAGCAGGAAGTGGTGGAACTTTACCAACCACCATTAGACATTGATCCAGGGTATGATTATCACCAGCAACAGTCAGCCATCATGGAGCGCCCTCTAGCACCTGAACCTGTTCCTACAGGTGAGGACAGTGAGGTAGGTGGATACTAATTCTACAAACATCTCACATCTCAAAACCCTGAACTTTCCCTTCTAAAATAGTTCTTGATTCTACCACCCTCTGTTGTCAGCTGGTTGAAAACATCCCACGGTCCTCCGGTTGGAACTTGAGTCACGACTACCCAATCACAGCTGTTCCCACAGTTCCACCACTCATACCCGGGACCTCCCGGTCACAGAGAAATGTCCCTGCCAGTCCTCTCAACAGTATTGCTTCTGATCAGCATCAGGGCCAGCCAAATGAGCGACTCCTCGTTGAGGTCCAAAGTGATATGGAAGAGGACGCCTCCGTCCGTCCAAGGGATGCTGCTGCTGTCCCAGAGGACGAACCCAGCGACCTGAACAGGACCGAGGAGAGCCTGCCCTCAGTAAAGCCCTCCACCTCTCATGAACCAGAGGAGACTGAACCGATCCATCCTCACCCCAACATGGTGGAGCCACTGTCGGACTACAGAGGGCGCTGTAAGTGCATTCAGCAAAGTTGACATATTTCTTCTGGGTACAAAAACAGTTGTAGGAATCGGTTTTCCAAATCATTTACAAGGAACTGCTTGTAACCTCAGTCACTTTAAATCTTCCAAAGCAGAGGACTTCAACACGTGGTCCACGACCCCTCAGGGGGTACAGAAGTACTGTAAGAGGTTGTGTATTTTTTTGATACATTGTTGTGTTAAAATTCAGATGAGCATGCTCAGGCTGAAGTGATGGCTGTGGAACAGCAGGCGGCACTGTTGTCTGTTAAGCGGAGGGTTTCAGGTTTACTGGGTCACATTTGTAGACAAAGATTCACACCCATATTTACACCTATTGTCAATTTAGAGCAGGGGTTTTCAAAGTCTTAAGTTACCTCAGTGCAACTGATGTCACAGTTTATTGTAGGTGTGAAAGCGATGAGTGTTTTCAGTTTTGGTGCCGTGTTTCATTCTTTCTTCCAGACCCTGTCAGGAATCACTCGGACGTTCTGCATCTACCTGGTGGTGAGTCTTGAACTGAACCGACCGGTATAACAACCTTCAAACAACCCATACAAATTTAAACTTTTCAACAATTCACATTGAAATGCCTTTAAATCTTTGTTTATTTACCAAGAGTCAACCTGCCTGTAGGTGGAGGAGATGAAGATGCTGTTTAGTTGAACACAACTCTGATAGGCTCTCAGGAATTGAAAAAAGACAGGCATGAAGATCTTAAATAGCTCTGTGTCTATTTATTTTTAACCCAAAGTTTTCTGCTGCCACTTGTTAGAAGAAATTGTAACTGCCTGTCACCATGACATAGATGAGCAAAGAACACCTGTTTTTATAATAGATTTGTCTGACAGGGAGATAAATGAATCTAGAATAAAGTCCAGCTGCTGTGTTCGGAGATAAATGAATCTATCTAGAATAAAGTCCAGCTGCTGTGTTCTTGGCTCGCTGACAGATCACCTGTTTGAAGTGTCGATGGAGGTCAATTTCAGCCTAGATGTGAGTGAGTCCTGGGACGAAATGGCTAAGTTGCTGCTGCTGTGGGTGAAAAATCTGGTGAGATGCCTGAAATTACAAATATACTGCTGAAAGTAAATGCGGAAATCAGTGGCTAAAAAACAATTTTGTTTTCAGGTTAGTGAACAGCTGGGGGCGCTGGAGACACCATGGTCTTTGACTACAAAAAGAATCAAGAGGTGAGAACTCGGTAGCTTTTGAACACACACGTTCACTCCTCCTGGTCAGCACTGCCTTTGTCTGCTTTCGAGGTTTCGTTTCCTCTGACTATTTTGTGTGTGTAGGTTGGATGCAGGTGGGCTTTACATCTTCTGGCTGCAGACACAGAACTCTGAGGGTCAGCAGTTGTACAGGGCCATATACACTGGCATACAGGGCCTCGTCACTGCAGAGTTGAATCTGAAAGGAATCCACAAGAGGGCAGTAATCATCTCCGTGTCAACTGCAGGTACCTGTAAACAAGTATTATTACAGTTGTGACTCCCTCTGACCCCCCCAACCCCTCTAAAAAAGAAAAGAGAAATGTATGTTCAGTTGGGTTTTTTTTTTTTTTCAACACAGGGGGCGGCTTGATCTCTCCGGTATTTTTGTTGGAAATGAAACTTGAAACTATTACAGCAGCTCAAGCTTTTCTGTGCATGTCTGTGTGTTTTAGATGTGAACGAGTGTGGCACTCAGCTGGTGCGGTGTGACTTAAATGCTGACTGTGTGAACCACTTTGGTTCATACTCGTGCCTCTGTAGACCAGGTTTCCTGGACAAGTCTCGTCATGGATCTGGAGGGACCTTGTGTATGGACGCCAATGATGCAGGTGTACTTTTTTAAAGTTCAGTAAAGAGTTGTACTACATGAAATGTTTTTTTGTTTGTTTGTTTTGTTTTTTGGCCGTCAGTAATAGTACAAGTAAAACAAAAATCGACGTTGGGAAGTAAACCAAGTCAAAACTACAACAATTCAAACTAAACTTTTTGCTTTCTGTCACAGGATGTAGCTCAGGCCTGTCGGCCGAGACCAAAGCCGTCTATGTGCTGTTCTTTCTGCTCAGCTCCGTCGTGTTTGTGCTGCTGGCGGCCGGGGGCGTATTTTACCATCGCCACCGCAGGGGGACGTTCTTGGTCCAATGCCACAGTGACAGAGGTTCAGCACCTGACTTCAACAACAATAAGAACAGCAGCACTTACCGCGGTGATGGCTGCTCTGATTTGCCCGCACCTCCGCCCCCGCCTCGGGGTCCCGCCCTCAGGGAGACCTGGCCTCAGGTGAAGGAGCTGAGTCCGGTCCTGGACCTGCCACTACTGCGCTTCAACCCACTTTCTCTACGGGACGGCTACGTAGAACCACGGGAGGGCGGGAAGTTATGAGGGGCGCTATTTTCCCACTCAATTAAATTAATATATATATTCACTTTGAGTTTGAAGATTTTGTCATCTTCTGTCACAAGTTAACAATTAAAATCACAGAACGCTGTTTCCTGCTTGTTTTGGCTTTTTAAAAAATTGATATGAAATTAGTCAATTACCTAAATCACTAATTTTCATATAAGGACTTTGTCCATTTTACTATGGTTAACAATTTCGTTTGTCTGCAGCGCGTGAGTGGCGGAGGGCGAGTGGGGCGATCAGGAGAAACCAGACGCCCCCATTTACACACAGGCAGACAGTTGGACACCTAACTCTGTCCTTGTCGATCAGGTGTAGGTGTTTGTGTGTATACAATTTCCATCTCCAGGAGGACAGAGCGCGACACTGTAGGTCAGGCTAAGACAGTCCAAAATGATGCTGACACTGTTGACATCCATGTACTTGGTTCTCCGAGCTTTTTCCTCACAGGTGACCTAACTGCTAACTCTTGAATGTAAGCTGTTGACTGTTAGCTTTTAGAATAATCTTAAAAAGATGCTAGCTGTTCATTTATTTGGTAGCTCGTAGCTTCCTCTCTTCCTTCACTCCCTTTCTTGCTTTCCTTCTTCCCCACTCCGACCTTCTTCCGGTCTCCTTTCCTTCTATTTCGTTTCCTCCACTACTCTTCTAACAATGTCCTCATGTAATTTGCAAAAGTTACATCATAGTAGGTCTGGGTTTGATGCAGCAGATGATCAGCACCATGGACAGAGATCCATGGAACGGGTCACATTGCACACATTGCGGTGGAGTTGAAGTGTGGGGAGTGACAAAGTTTTAAGATGCTGTTCGCCTGTTTCTGGGTTGGTTTAAATGTATATCTACTATAATGGTTCTGTGGCTATTGAGCAGCATTGGGACCTGTGTAAGGAAGAACTGAGAAAATGGCCATTATTATTAATGAACTACTCAGTCTTTAAACCATCAGCTACAACAACTCTATATCAACCAAGAATATTCTTGATAATTGTTTTCATTTCCTTATTTTTAATGACTTTATTGACTCTGATGTCTGTTCGGATTTATCTCTGTAACACATACTAACCACAGTAGGCGGCAGTGGGCCAGCATTGCTATGCCCCTGTGGTTTTGTGCTAAAATCACTGATTTGCGTTGAAGTGCGTTGACGGGGCTAAATGAACACAAATAGTTCCAAACAGCTGGAATATATATAACAAAATATAATCACCTGTTTGGAACTATTTATTTACTTCCGTTTCCGAAGATTACACATCCAAACAGCGAACGATTTCATGTAAAAAAAAAAGGGGGGGGGGGTAAAAAGGGAAAGTAGCCTTGTCGCAGTGTAAGTGCAGTTTTGCGGCTCACCACAGGAGGGCAGCTTTATGTCTTTCTTTATTTTGTCTTACATATATGTGGCACTTATGGGCGTGGTATTAGCCGAATGGTGCATTGTGGGAGATGGTGTTTGCTTTGCTAAATATCAGTATGCAGCAAAGGCGTAAACGGACTTCAAATCCCGCGCTACAGCAGGAGGAACGCTTTAGCGCCTGACTCTCCTGTAAAGGTGACCCCAGTGTGAGAAGCAGAGCAACCGAACACTGTAACATCTTCTCCCGCTGCACCATGGTAAGAGCCTCCGATATCCTTCTGCGATGATACGCCATATAATGCAAATAGTTTTACACGCTTAACATTTAAAAAAAAAAGGTTTCATTTTTTGGCGCAGAGGACATTTGAGTTATAGTCAAGAGGTTTGTTACACAGCCCTTTGTTCGCCAATTAATACACTTTTAGTTTTAAAATAGTTCATAAGGAGAACAAAACAAAACAGATTTTTTTAAAAATCGCATTTGTTATCAGCTGCATTCGATTCCATCTCCACGAAAGTAGGCCGTAACATCAGCGTCAACCCACATCCTGGTGACCGTTCAGAACCCCGTTAAGGAACTCTCTATTTTAACTTCTGGTTGTTTGTCCAATCCAGCCCGAACGGGTCAGACATTGAGTCTGTGAATTGTCTTTTAGTGCTGCAAACATGCTGTGATTCGGCTTATGTTTGCGTCACCTAGCGTCTTTAAGCTCAGCGACATCACGCTCTTTATCGAGCTTTCCATTCATTTGTAATGCGATGTCATTGTTGTTTGTTTGGTCCAGTCTGAGCTGCAGCTCTCGTGGTTGGACTGCTTTCCTTTTTTAAATGTCGCCAATAAATGCGACGCCGAAAAGTTCAGACGTCATTGAGTCACTGAGTTTTCACCAGTCGTCTTTAACGTTTCCTTCCGGAGCTCATAATTTCAAAAATTGGTGTAAAAATAAATGGACCATCCGCCTAACTGCAGGTGTGAAGGGCTGATTTTATTTCTGCCGAAATAAAACGTGACGCCGACCAGTTCAGATAAACCTCACATTTTTATTAGTCTGATGACTGAAGATGATTTTCTATTTTCTCCTTTCTCGTTAAGACGAAGGTCACAAATATGTAAAAACCTCTGTATTTTATAATTCCCGTGTTTTTCTTCCAGGCTGAACCAATCCGTGTTCTGGTGACCGGCGCTGCTGGTCAGATTGCCTACTCTCTGCTCTACAGCATCGCCAAGGGGGATGTTTTTGGGAAGGATCAGGTACGGTAGATGGAGGTCAGCAGTTGCCACAGTCCTGTGACTGTGAAGCCTGTAATTGACTAACATCTTTGACCTTTCCTCAGCCAATCATCTTGGTCCTTTTGGACATTCCCCCCATGCTGCCGGTGCTGGATGGCGTGGTGATGGAGCTACAGGACTGCGCCCTCCCACTGCTCAGGGGTGAGGATTTTATTTTTTGGTTTTAAACAATTATGAAATAAGCCAAAACTCGGTTCTCAACAACTGTCTTAGATAAAATGAAGGACCTTTGTAGCAGTCTAGTGCTGTCATTGTAGAGCAAAAGCCCCTGTTATTACCTCTGATCCAAAGTCAGCATTAAAAAAAACCATTCACACCACTCCTGTTATCAAGCATGGTCACTCTAAAATGAAGACGTTTCCTTATGCAGTTTGGTGAAACGTTTAGTTACAGCAAAACGTCTGATGTCTAAACATAAAAAACATATATTTTTTGTTTAAAAAAAAAAGCCTGTTTGCTGTCACATGATCTTGGGTCATATGAAACAGTCTATTGTGATGCCTTGTGATTGAGTTGAGGTTTTCAAATCAAAGCTGCTTTTGTTGGAGGGGGACTCAGTTCTGAACTATATCCTCCTGCTGCAGAGCAGCAAGATTGTTAACCTGACTATTACCAAACTGATCTCATTTGACTTTATCAGGAGATAAAATGTCATTTTCTAACATTTATTGCGGTGATATAAACGACCACCACTCCAGTCATACTTGCATAACCTGATAACATATCTGTTGCCTCCACACCAAAGTCCATAGAGAAAAACAGTGATTTTAGATCAGAGAAACGGCACCTGTTGATCCTCCACCAGCAACTCCTGTGTCTCTGAGATAAAAACAGATATGATTTCTATGGACTTTGGTGTAGCAGAGTGATTGGTTGACAGACTTAAGGTTGAACTCTTCATTGGCTCCAGTGGAGGAGGAGAAGGAGGAGTGTCACAATAAAGGCTTCTGGTTGGTCCAACAGAGAGGTTAGGAGGGGCCCAGTAGAGGAGCAGAAGGTAGACTTTGTCTCAAGTTCAGTCTGATAAGAACATCATCACGGTCCACTGAACCTGTGTCTTATCAGGAGCAGATGATCAGAAAACTGTTCAGTCTTTTTTGAAGCAATGGCCTGAGATGGGAGGTCCAGCTGATCCAGGATCAGTCTTCCCAGTCCTGCAGGTTTTGGTATTCAGCTTTAATTCTGACTGTAAAAAACCTTCAAAATAATTAAAAGTGAGTCTCCAAATTCAAATGTCATTTGGGTTAGGGTTAATATTTTAGTAAACCTTCACATGTCATTTTTCCATTAGTTTTTAACTACTTCTTGGTCTTAAATGTTAGCTCATATGTACTTTTAAGCTATTTTACTAAGTTACTAAGTTAACTAAAAGATAAATTAATGTAGACATAGAAGATGGCCGCCTCCATAACAACAAGGTCGAGTGTATTTTAATAAAATATTTATTTTTTTTGTGTGAACTCCACCATCTCTCCCCTTCACTTTCATCCTTCATCTTCTCAATCTACCTTTAATCTGCTCTCTCCTTCACAGATGTGATCCCAACTGACAAGGTAGAGGTTGCCTTCAAGGACCTGGATGCAGCCATCTTGGTTGGTTCCATGCCAAGAAAGGAGGGCATGGAGAGAAAGGACCTGCTGAAGGCCAACGTGGCCATCTTCAAGGCCCAGGGTACAGCTCTGGACCAGTACGCCAAGAAGACAGTCAAGGTCGGCTCCACCTCCGCTTCTGTATTAAAGTTTTCACCAAGTTGTAACACATTGTAACAACACATTACAAAGTAGTCTAGAAACAAATCTTGACATAAATCTGCTAGAAAAATTGCCAATGTTACACAAAAGCCATTTGAGTTTGATGGAGTTCTTTTTGTGAGAGTTCAAGTGTTTTACTGAGGTGTTTGTGTATTTATTTGTTGATTTGGGTGTTTGTTTTGATAGGTTTTGGTTGTTGGAAACCCTGCAAATACCAACTGTCTGATTGCCTCCAAGTCTGCCCCGTCCATCCCTAAAGAGAATTTCTCCTGCCTGACCCGTCTGGACCACAACAGAGCCAGCTCCCAGGTTGGTGTTGAGAGGGGAAAAAACCTAGGGAAGTTGGTCAAGATAATTACAGATACAGTAGAAAAATGGCCAAAACTTCACAGTAGCAAACAACTTATTACTAAATGACCTCCATGAATAGATGAACAATTTGTTAGTTTTCTTTAAAAACCAGACAGTAGTTATAGACAGAGGACAGCTGAAAGTAATATCAGAAATAATTGTCTGTGTCAAGATTAAAAAAGGGATCTGACAAAACTTTTTTACAAAAAGTAAAAAAGTAAATATATTTAAAAAATATATGCATGTTCACAACAAATAAAGCTAACTAATAGTTTAAGTTCATACAACAAATTACGAATACATTAATGAAAATGACAAACATTTAATTATAGTCAACGAGCTTAACATTTATATTTAGGATTTAAAAAAAAAAAAAGTTTATCTTTTAACTTGGGACTTGTCCTGCAGGTGGCAATCTTTTAAAAAATAAGTTTATCTTTTATCTTTTATCTTGGGACTTGTCCTGCAGGTGGCAATCCGCTGTGGCGTCTCCTCTAACAATGTGAAGAACGTCATCATCTGGGGAAACCACTCCTCCACTCAGTACCCTGATGTCCACCACGCTGCAGTAATGGTCAATGGCCAGGAGGTGGCAGCATATGATGCGGTGAAGGACGATACATGGCTGCAGGGAGATTTCATCTCAGTGAGTTTGACTGCCGCGTATGTTTGATAATACATTTAATACAATTTTAGATTTTCACAACTTTAATCGTCTGTCTGTCCAGACTGTGCAGCAGCGCGGTGCTGCGGTCATCAAGGCCAGGAAACTGTCCAGTGCCATGTCAGCTGCCAAGGCTATCTGTGACCACATGAGGGACATTTGGTTTGGAACCAAGGAAGTGAGTGAAAGAACATTCAAGAAAATAAACTGATATCATGCAAAAAAAATCACCTAGAAATTCTCAACAATATTTAAGACTAGTATCCAAAAAAGTGGTTTAAGGGAGTCAAAGGTTAAAACAAGTTTAAAATACTGCAGAAAATGTCAAAATATAAAAATATTTTATATTGAAATACTGTTGAGAACCTGATAATATGTTTATTTTGATCTGTACAAACTACTGTATGAGTTGCTGCCACCTAGTGACTGGAGGCTTGTTATCGATTAAGCATTACAGCAGTGGTACACTTATTTCCAGTGTGCCACATTCCACTTGAATCCCCTCACAACGTGCCCCCACCCCACTATTTGAAAAGTACTAGCCAAACTAGTCAAGTAGTTAACCAAAGATATAGCTAACCATAAACCCATGCATTTTAATGGAGTCTGGTTGTTCCTTGTTTCAGGGTGAGTTCATCTCCATGGGTGTTCATGCTGGAGGAAACTCCTATGGAATCCCTGAAGACCTCATCTATTCCTTCCCAGTCCAGATCAAAGTGAGTTGATCCTGACTTTTAACAGCCAAGACTAGAGTCAGGATGTTTTTTAACCTGAATGTTTTAGAGGTGGATCTTTGGCTCTAATATGAGGTTTAAAAAATAACATATTTTTTAACCTTTAATTTTCAAAACAAAATGTTGATTAAATGATACCACCGGGTGTTAATTGTTTCTTTCAGAATAAGACCTGGAAGGTGGTGGACGGACTGCCCATCAATGATTTCTCCCGCGCCAAGATGGATGCCACGGCAGCAGAATTAGTAGAGGAGCGTAACACTGCCCTTGACTTTCTGTCACTGTGACTTGCTCCACCTGCTGGTCAACAACAACAACAACAGCAGCATTTACTTAGTCGCTCACAACTCTAAAGATCAAGCCCTGCTCACCCCTGTGACTGACCACGCTCTCTGGTGAGAGAGGAAAAGAGCGTCTCCTATGTTTGTAGAAGACAACAATAGCACATTTAACCTTTGATGTTCCCATTAAAAGCCAACAGAACCAGAATCAGGTTTGCGTATTCCATGGAGCACATCTCATCTGGCACTAAATAGCAGTGTCGCTCACTGCAGGGTTTTCTTTTTCGGCACATTTACTGGGGAAAAAATAGCAACAAACAAGGAGGAACAAAATATCTCAAATTGATGAGTGTTGAAAAGTTAGCCCTGGAACAGCTAAGGGAAGAGCCATGAAGGTTGAAGAAGTGTAACAAAACTGAAAGATTAGGTGTTATTCAAAGGCAAGTTAAAGTTTGCAAATATATACCTAAAAAACACCTTAATAATAGCCAGAAGATAGTAAAAAAGCATGTCTGTGTAGGTTCTCAGTCATCCAGGTCATTTAATTCAAAAGTAGTTACATTTTGGATACAGTTCTGAAGAAGCCTCTTGGATGAAACGTGAAACGTTTTTAAAAAAACCTACTTCATCCAGTTGCCCTCGATGTAACTATTTTTGTCATCTGATAAACATCTGCTAAACGTTAGCCAAAAAGCTAAACGCTAACTTAAGAAAGTTAAATGTTAATTAAAAAAAAAAGCTGGATGTCTAATAAACAGCTGAATAAAACTAGACATCGACCAGAACACGTACATAAAGAAAAATTTGCAGGAAATAGAATCCAAAAATTGTTAAAACGAATCTTAATCAAAGAAAAGTGTAATAAATGCAGATACATATGCAGAAAGACCAAATTAAAAGGATCGTATTAATCGTGTAATGGTGGAATAAACGTAATGATCAAAATCAAGTTTTCTTAAAACTGAGTAACAGGTGCTGGTGGGCGGGAGCCCGTGTTGATTGACAGTTAAAACCACTTCGCCTCTACGACCAACTGAGTCGCTTTGTGACGCATGTGGGCGGAGTCGGTGGCGGGTGCAGGATGATGACATCATGAAATGAGCTTCAGTTTATGTTTAGAAAAAAGTCTAGTAGCAACAGCGACCCTGCTGTCAGCTGCAGTTAACAGCCTGAGGACTGAAGCCCGTGGCCGGAGCAGACGTTATTGTTTAACCCACTTGTCTCCATGTCCGTCTACGGCTTTTCCCGCCTCTGAGACACAGCAGGTAAGAGGAAACTGCGTCACGCCTCAATGTTTTTGTCTGTGTGTTCAACAGTTTACAGTAACAGAAAAAGTTATTTTCTTTATACCACATGAAATAGTACAAGAAAATGTGTTTATATATCACTACAAGCC